TCGGGTAGCATACCGTTGGACATATTGCTCGATACTTTTGAGCTGAAAACTGAGACAGCTTCGAAAGAGGAGAGTGTGACCGGCAGCTCAGTATTTGATCCAACACTTCTTCCCAGGCGGTGGACAGACCGATGCCGCCGCCAGCCGGAGCGTATCCAGGTCAACCCCCGTCGAGTACGTTACTGACTTTTCACAAGGGGAGGTGTTGGGGATATCAATAGCCCCCAGAAAACGCTGTGTTTTTATGTGTGCTAGCGAACTCCTGGCATCTTCAAGGTCAAACTATGAAAAATCAATGGCCTATTGATACTCCAAGGAAATTTAAATCCGACCACGTACAGGATACCATTCTTTCCACTGACTTGGGTTCGGAAGCTCCGGGCATCGCCTGTTGATCGTGTGTTGTTGGATTATTAAAGTTTGTGTTCAAGGTTTTCGTCTTCTTACTATTCGCCGTGCTAGGAGTCTGGATCAAGCAACATAGCTGGGGATAGAGTATTGCCACAATCCGCATTATCATATTGTTTGCTCGCTGCGTGACAGAACCGTAACAAATACAACTCCGACCAAGGCGAAATCCAACTTGACTATCGCGAATCTGCCTCCCAATGAAGTAAAAGATGTTCAACACTTAACAGAGGACGTCATTCTCCATCGTTCCTACGCTGCGCGTTAACCTCGAATCAGCCGCCAAGGCCGGTCTACTCTGTCCAACTTGGGCACTTATATTATCTACTAGCATCACGATATCTGCCATTCTTTCTGACCGAAGCCAAAAGTAAATATCTTGAAAGCTGCTCTAACCCCAGTGCTGCCGCCTGTTGAAAGTATGCCTACACAAGTACACATCGTTTATCTCGTTGATCTCGATTAAGCCAGTCAACTGAGCAGCTCAAAGACGACTGTTTACTTGAATCCATTCCAGTAAATGGTATTTAGTCCTAAGGGTGAGTACAACTCCCACGCCTTAGATAACACGAACCATTGCATCAGGACTACCAGACACCTGAGATGTACAGTGTAGGAAACCCGGTTCGTTCCGATCCTTTTTAGGTTTATTGAAACAACATATATCAGTCCGAAGAAAAAGCGGTATCTGAGCAAGAGATGCTGTTACCCATTCTGAGTACGAACGTCAAAAGGAGCCATGTGGAACAGTATTTTGTACTTCCTAACAATTTATCTTCAATTATTGCGGGGCAAAAGTTTAGACACGTACCACGTGGCTGCTAAATGAATTAGAGTTACAGGGATCATCGCCGAATGATATGTAGGGGGCGAATAATACTCTTTGTCCAGGTCGAAGGGGCTTGGCTAATGTCGAGAGCTCTACATAACTCGGCGGTTAAGGTGCGAGTCCGCTGACTGAAAGGTCCGTGGTTCGAACTGAACCTCCAGATCTCGACCGTTGCTGCTCGGGTTTGGGCAGACTGACAGTATTTCAGCCGTCTTGCTTCATTCAGTTGGCATGGCAGCTAGGCACTGAAAGGGTATTACAGCCGATCATAGCATTATATTTATTTACTCCACTATGAACATCTGACTCAGAAACTGCCCTCAAGACAGTGGGGAATCTATAGCTTTGTTCGGGGACTCGTCTCTTATATCCGGACTCAAAAATTCACACCGCGAGTCAGCGGTGTGGGCTAGTGGCTTAGGAGTCTGGAGCCGCACCAAGTTAATTGCAACGTTTGTTTGTTTTTCGGGGGTGTTGAATAATTAGTTGGCCGACAGTAAACAAATGGGTGATCGGAGTGTGCGTTTCTAATCCGTCCTTTCTCGGAAGGAGATAGCATTGTTGCCTGTATAAAATGGACCTGCTGCATGCCTGTCCTCACTTCCATTGCAGAGAGCATTATGAATTTACCTCCAGACCACCACTTAATGAGAATTCTCGCTGTATGAGCACTCGCCGTTCTTTGTCCACTGGTCTTTGCGGCAGAGCCAAACCTTAAGAATCTGAATTCAGTCAGCATAGCCTTCAGGGTCATTACAACACAGAAACCTGACCATCACTTCATGGTGAGAATTACATCAGGATAGTAAATTAATGTGAATGAGCAAAACAGCAAGGCTGAGAATGAAAATCAGGTATCGAACCACAAGTTTGGCAGTACTACGTTAGTTCAGGAACCACTTCCAAGCAGAGATCAGTGTGAGTAGCCGAGTTAAAGGTCACCGAGTTCGCTCCGCATTGATGTCGCGTTTGATCAGTTTCACAGTGTTTTCACTTTTGAATTGGTTGGTTTTGGTGATAAACGCAGGGCAGCCAAGCTCCCTCGAATCGGCTGAACAAACTGAAATTTTGTTATTTTGAATACAGCTAGCCAGAAAATGAGATTTTCTATTGGTCATGTGGTTACCACAGGTAGTTCTATGAGGGATATCGATTTATCGTGGATCTTGGGAACATTTAGATCCTGTCTTCGACTGTGCTGTTTTCGTCTCAAGCTATACAATGGTAGAAAGCTGACCAATGTGTTCTGACATCTCGGGTGCACCATTTTCTTAGTGCGTCAGATGCGCTTGCTGATGACATATTTACGCTGTTGTTGGCATCGCCGAAAATTTAGCTGAAGAAAATGGCTGCCATGGCTTTCAGATGACTAGCAACTGTTGTTCAGGGTGCGATGTTTTTCGTCACCTAGATTTTCTGGGGGTTCAATGGAAAGAGCGTAAGCAATCTGATCACAACGACCTTGTTCGTTCTTGAATGTCGATATGAAGATTGCGTCAGAATTTGACCGACCTTGCACTGGTGTTTTGGAAAACATGCAGCCTTTTGTTTTCCGTACAAAACACACTTATGAATGTTAGCTCCACGGTATGCCGTGAACTGTGAATGTCAAGGTAGACTGCCGCATGTGGATTTGAATTCGTCTCATAGTGTCGAATAGTTCTCATAAATGTTCCGAATATACGCACACTGTTGTCATGATGTGCTACCACTCAACACATCGGAATTTACAACAAATTCAATCAGCTTAACTGGAGAGACAAGGTACATCGGTATATATATATATATATAATATATAATATATATATAATATATATATATCTATATAATC